AGATGACAGGCAGCTCTGCATGTGAGGCCACAAAGCCCAATCTTGAGGTCCATAGCCAGGTTGACATGAAAGCTGCTGTGAGACCTGGGAGAGGCCTAGGGCATTCTTTCAGTCCCACAGGGGTCACCACTCCCCGCCAAGGCTCTCCAGGTAGATCTTCCTCTGACCATACCTATGCTTCCTGGCAGGCTGTGCCTGAGATATCTTCCCTAAAGGACACCCTCTTTTATGAATGGGTTGCATCCTCAAGTACAAATAATGCACAAATCAAAAACTAAATTTAGTTAAAATGACCCCCCCAAATCTCTGTCATCCAAACCAATGGGTTGTTTCTTAAATGATGGTTCTGAAAGAGTATAATCAGCAATCCAAGATAAAAAGTCTAGGTTATCTCACAGCCAACAGGTTCTTGTTGGCTGCGAGGAAGTCACTGGTGAAAATTAAATCAACAGATTTTAATTTTTTAAAATCTGGATTTATATGGAAGACTTTCCTTTTGTTCAAAATAGGCCCCATGGGCCTCCCCTGGTGGCGCAGCAGTTGAGCGCTGGGCTGCGAAGCTGCCCGCAGCCTCTGCAGCGCCAGTTCGATCCCGGCCACCTGCGAGGGTCCCACATGGTGCACAGACCTCTCCTGCCACGCCCACTGTTCCCCTGCAGTGTATTTCGTAGGTCTGCCTGTTCTGTTCCCCATTCTGGCTCTGGTGAATTCTCTCACCCTCCCGCACTTCTGACTGCACCCAGTGCTTGTATAAATAAATAAATAAATCTTAAAAAAAAAAAAAAAAAACAAAACAAAACAAAAATAGGCCCCAGGCACGAAAGGTTAGGAACTAACTAGCACTTCACAGGGAAACCAAAAAAGGGAATATGGTTTAACTAAAACTGTATCCAACACATCCTAGAGTGTCATCTCACCTATGCTAACTGATGGATAAAAGTTTTGTGAAGGACTGAGTGGGTGGCTTGCTCGGTGCTGAGACAGCCGTCTGGGATGTTTTGCTGGGCTAATTAGAGCAGAGCAACACTAAGGTGTTTGTGGTCCTGGGCTTGTGCCTAGAAAGCACTCTGGTTCCATGGTGACAAACCTGTACTCATTAGCACTTTCCAGGTGTTTACTGAGGACCTACTGTGTGCCAGTAAGGTACTCAGTGGCCTGGATACATGTTCTTGCAACTACCCCATACCGGACAAGGTACAATGAGTGGTCTTCCCTAATGTCCTACCACTTGCGAACTTCTGAGAACAGAAGACATGTCTTTTCCATAGCTCTGTCCTCAGTTCCAAGGATAGCGCAAGGCACATCACGTGAATGTGCTTTTTGAATGCACCAAGTTCATAGCATTCAACATCTCATCCTAGAAAAACATTTAATGAAATTGCCTCTTGTGTACCTCATCCACTCCCATTTCTGGGTCATGAATCTAAAGCTCAGACAATCCGTGGGGCTAGGATACTACACAGTGTGTTGCCTCAACTCAACTTTTAGAACCTTTGATACCTAGACTTTTTTTGTCCCTTAAAAGAATACCTCTTAGCAGTTCCAAATACCTAAAAGTTCTTTTGTGAAATGCTTTCTAGTATGGTCAAAACCTTTATTTTCAAGAGTCATCTCCCACCATGACTGCCCTGCCTACCTCTCTGTGAATTTCTTTTTTTTTTAATACCTTTTATTTTTTTTTAGATTTATTTTTTTATTTATATAATAGCTGGGGTATAGGCCAGAGGTGCAGGAGGGTGAGGGAATTCACCAGAGACAAAGCTGGGAGGAGAACAGGCAGACAGATTGAAAGCACTGCTGAGGGGAGCAGCGGGTGCGACAGGAGAGGTCTGCCGTGCCATGTGGGAATCTCCCTGGCCGGCCGGGACTCAAACCCATGCTGCAGAGGCTGTGGACAGCTTCACAGTGCTGTGCTCAAGCCGCTGTGCCACTGGGGAGGCACTCTCTGTGAATTTTTTTTTAAATTTTCTTTTTAATTTTTTTAAGGATTTATTTAATTATGCATATAAGAGCGGGGTACAGGCCAGAGATACAGGGTAAGGGGGGGGTGAAAGGATTCACCAGACAGAATGGTGAACAGAACAGGCAGACTGACTGAAATACACTGCTGAGGGGAGAGGTGGGTGAGACAGGAGAGGTCTGCTGTGCCAAGTGGGTTGTTTCCTGGCCAGCTGGGGATCGAACTCGTGCTGCAGAGGCTACAAATTGCTTCATAGTGCGGTGCTTAATCCCTTGCGCCACCAGGGAGGCCCTCTCTGTGAATTTCTTATCAAGGAGATACACCCTGAGGGTCCACAACAAAACGGGTCTACTGAAAAATTAGGAACTGGGACATTTTCTTGTTGACAGCTGGCACATCTACCTCCTGCCCATCAGTCATAATGACTCAGCTCCTGAGTCACAGCCCTGCCACCAGCACCCTGTGACTATCACCAATACAAAGCCAGGGTAGTTGGGTACAGGCAGCTGTTCCCAGAGCCCCACAGGTGCACAGCATTAAAACTAAGCGGCCATCAGCTACCCCATTAGTCATGTACACTCGAAGGGAATAAGATTAAGTCATCATCTGGGTAGACTCTAGTATTACAGTCAGCAAGGAGCAGGACACCACCACCAAGTGCAAGGTTAAAGGGAAGCAAATGAGGGGGAGACAGCCCTTAGCCACCAGGAAAAACCCCAATGTGAAAAGAAAGTAATAGCATCGACAGAGAGGCACATGATTTTCCTTTAATTACCTTCAGATTTAGGACTAGGAGTAGATGCAGGAAACTGGTAGGTAGGAGTATAAGGATTGTCTTCTGTAGCAGAGAAAAGCAGTGGATTTTGAAACTACCCACCACAAAGAGGAGGAACTAGCAAGTTCCCAGTGATGACTATTTCAAATGATTACCTATTTTAGTGTTATTAAAGCACACGGGCATCACACTTAAAAATAGATTAATGAATTAGAACGGTCTTAGTTAATTTTAATATAGCACATCATGCAAATGAGCAAAATAAAATGTTCACCAACCAAAAACGACTATAAAAACAAAATCTAAAAGCCAAATCTTGTCCTATAGTGGAACTACAAGAATTAATGTAAGGCTAGGACAAGTTATACTGTCTAAGTTTATGGTACCTTCAGAATTTTGCTGGATTTCAAGAAGTTCAGGGAATTTGTACGTAGGGAAATAGGGGTTTTCCTCAGGAGTGTCTAGGCAGAGGAGCAGATTTGGAAGAGAGAATAGAGGAAGATACACATGGAGAGAATGAACGAATAGGAATCTACACACAATTCAGGCTCCTTTTGGAACATTCTAAGCTTCATTGATGATATGAAAGAAATTCAAAATGCTTTAAAAAATCCAGTCCTTTTGCCTGAATTACTGAGACACATCTAAAGAGACAATAACATTTCTCGTCTTACAAAAATAATTCCACATATACAGGCTCCAGTGAGCAAGAGACAGCACAAAGCTTCAAGTTTTCGCCTTTTATAGGCAAAAATATTAAATATGCTAATAGTGTATAATAAAAACAGTACCATAAAATGGTTTCTTTAAAAATTAAAGTTTGTGCTACAGATATTAGAATCATAGCAGACAAGTGGATTCTTAATTTTTTCAAAGACCTCTGCCTACCATCGGGGCAGGTAGTTATATTTAGAACCTGTAATTTAGGTTGCGTTAATAGCTATAATATATGAGAGGCCCAGTGTTGCCCGAGGGGCAGAGTGCACCTGTGTCTCGGGCATTGAGCTGCAGAGCTGGGCCTAAAGTTGAGACAGACGCAGATTGCTGGAGGAGGTAGGCATTGGCCTTAGGAGGTGACCAGTGTACCTGACGCCACCTATCAGAGACCCAGCATTTGGCCTGGCCAAATGACTGCGATCACCCACCCAACTGTAGTGGATTTACCCTTGGCGCAGAAATGGTAAACACTGAGCGCTTCAACCATTTGAAACAGTTCGAAGCAGGGCACAGCCAGGATCATCTTGAACAGGGCAAAAGCTAATTAAAGAGATATTAGCTGGCCTCAGAGGCTGGTTATTTGTGGCTTAGGTCAACAGGGACCAGAATGCTTTCCCCTGCCTCCATGTGTCATCGGTGCCAGGCGGCCAGACTGGATTTGGCCACAGGGAAGGACAGGATGCTCTGCCTGTGGGAGGAGAAGTATCCTTTCCACGGCGCCACTGCGTCCCTGCCTGTCAGATGACGGCAGCACAGGTGGGGAGGAGCTGGTGGAGTCATGACCTGCGGAGCATAGACCTAGGGTGTGTGCGGGGATGGGCTTCTCCCGCCATGCTGCTCGCCCCACCTGCCGACAGCCCCGGGGGCTCTGATTTGGAAGTGCTTCCCTCCAGCCTGAGTGGGCCTTGGTGTGTCAGCTCTTGACAGACTCTCAAGGACACCGGCCAAGTGCAGCTCCCAGATAGGGAAGATTATTTTTCATCTTAACACCTCCTTCCAGGTGCACCATGTATTCTACTTCACAAGGCAGAATATGTTCCAACGCTGCAAAGCCCCTAGGCAGAAGGGAAGCAGGACAAACCAGCGAGGTATGTGATTGGCCCAAGGTCACATGAGTGCTGGGGGCACTGAATTCAGGTGAAACAGATTTCTAAGTCCAGAGCAGTGCACTCCTAACTTGCTCTGCTTACAAAGTAGTCAGGGGCCGACACAGGGAGCTGCACTGAAAGCTGGAAGCAGGCAGGACTTGGAGCAGTTTATGCCCAGGCAGGCAGATGCTGGAGCACAGGCAGAGGGCTGGGTTCAGCCTGCTGCATCCCACAACATCTGGGAGGGAGGACTTGAGAGCTGACCTCAAATCCCATAGGCGAGGCAGGTGCACAAGCGCTCCTACCCTCCTCCGCTCTAAAGGTGTGTGGCTGGGCGCAGGCAGGCCAGTGCCAATGAGGTCAAGCCGCAGGGCCCAGCCTCTGGTACCCTGGTGAGGCGAGTTTAGACTCTCATCACAACAATTAACACCGTACAGATTCTACAAATGAAAATCAGTACCTCTGTTTAGTTTGTGGATCTGTTTAAACATGGTCTTGTACCAGTCTTTTGATCTCTCGGTGTTCTGGAGAAAAAGGCAAAGAATGAAATAAAATGGAAATCTTGGCACATTTCAGACTGCTTATGATTATAAAATCAAAATGGAAAGGATAACATCTGAAACCAAAACTAGCATACTCTATATTTGGTGACCACATATTGACAACTTTTTCGAAAACGCAAAACTTTTGAGAGAGAACAGCCCAGGAGGTTCAAACCTGAATCTGCAAAGCAATACTTGGCCCAAAGGATGTAGATTTTGAAAACTATGGAGAAGAATCCATTTGAAATGTGTCCATTCTTATATAATTCTTTTAAAGTTCATTTTGAGAATCTCTTCATATTTAAATGACTAAGGCCTCCTAGAAACATGGGACAAAGAATATTTGCTTATACTATAAGCAAGATGAAAATGATTACATTGTGCAAAAATGAAAAATGATGTAAAAAATGTTAAAAAATAAAAAATATGTTTTTACATCAATAAGACAAATAAATTTTTCCTTCCTTTAAAAAAAATTTTGCTTATCAGGCCATGTCCTTCTCCATTTCCGCTCACTCTGTAGAAGTATACCTAAGTCACTTTGCATCAGGTCAGACTTATAGCACATACATTCAGACATAGCTAAACAGCTTCCAGTGCCAGAAAGTTTTCCTCATAACCACAATACTGGGCTGTTTCTAAGATCAAAATAAAATAGGGGGACAGAGATTTTTATTCCCATTTTACAGATGAGATGAAATACATAGTCAAAGTGAATTGCCCAAGGTCACAGAGCCATTGAGAGGGGAGGGGAGGATCCATGGATGGTTAGGGGGATGGGTTTGGGAGTCGGACAGGCTGCTCTGTCACCCACAAGCTGTGCAATCCCAGACAAGTAGCACAATCCCTCTGAATGCCTGTTTTCTCATCCATAAAATGGAAATGATTTTAGTATCTACCTTGTAGAGTAAATGATATTTACGTGAGATAAGGTACTCAGCAAAGGTAGCTGCAATTACTATCAGTAATAATCCTCTTTCTACTTACTATTGCTATTATATACTTATTATTTCTTGGGACCAGACAACTCTTTTGAGTCATAACCCACTGCTGTTTTTAATAGGTCTTCTTCAAACTAGTTGGTTTGCTAAGTGGAAATTGCAGAGGTAAATCATAGTCAGTGTTCGGATGGGCACATGGAGAAGAAAAAATTCCCCTTAACCCAGTTTCACAAGTCAGGCTTCCCTGGAATTCCCTAGGGCCAGCAGAAGGCTGGCATTCCTGTGCGTTAGGGGCCAGTGGGTCAGGGCTACTGCCAGACCCACTGTCTTGGAGGCCTCAGCAGGCTGAATCCAAGCTGTGGATTCCTTAAGGGCACCTGCTCACACTGGCCAGTGGGGAAACCAGGGGCATTTCCTCCTGAGCAGTCAACAGGGACCCTAAGCCTGGCCCTCCATTCTCAGGGTTTCTTAACCCTGCACTAGCAATTTCTGAGGATGCTCCTCAGGACACCAGCAGACAGGGAAATACTGGCTACAGCATAGCCCCATAATAACACACCCAGGCCCCAGGCCTCTCAGTTTTGCTGTGAGGAAACCTCTGCTTTTTTCCACCCATCTTATTCTGACATTAATTCAATCGCAAAACCCTTTTCTCATGAGGCTTACTGACACCTAACACACACTTTGGGAACAGCTGCTACATTCTGAGCCCAAGCCCAAGGAGGGTGCAGGGGGCTGGGGCAAAGCTTTGAGAAAACGGATGGTGTTGAGGACCCTTCTCAGGAGGCCTTAGCACCTCCAGGGTGCAGTTCACGTACACTCAGGGGGTGCACCCTATTATGACTTAAGACGCAGCTTCAGAGGGACCTCTAGGTCAGCATGCGTACCCTGAGTGGGATGCCCACTTCATCCATGGAAACATCGCTTAGGTCCTGAGCGCTCTTAGCCACCCGCCTGTCATCCTTAGCCTTTTTTTCAGAAGTCCTGGCTGGTGAGGTGGGTTTTTCCTGGGTTGGTGCCGAGTTTTGCTCTCCCACTCTTCTTTCCGATATAGGATCTAAAAAAGGGAAACCATTGTTAGCAGGAGCTCTTCTGATAGCCACAAAGCAACAAAACTCCCAAAACAAGTCAGCCAGGGGAAAGTGTGTTGGCTAATTCCTAATTGGAAAGAATTTCACTTAGAGGTCAGCAAATTATGACCCAGCCACACCATCCCTTTACCTACTTTTTACCCATGCCTTTGAGCGCCAATGGCAGAGTTGAGCAGCTGTGATAGAAACCTTAGGACCCGCAAAGCCTAAAATATTTACCATCTGGCTCTTTAGAAGAACGTGCTGACAGCCTGGGATGTGCCCTACAGTGATGTCATTTGGCGCTCTAGACACCCCAGCGAACCTGGCAGTCCTAGAAACTCAGGAAACAGGTAGAACCACAAGGAGGTAGCCAAACATTAATCAAAAGTCTTCGTTTTAACTTGGGAATCTCTTAACTTTTCGGTGCCTTCACTTATTCATCTGAAAACAGGGGCTAGGACTTGGCATGCTGGGTGATGTTGTGAGAAGACTTAACAAGAGAGCTGATGCCAAGTTGCTGAGAAAGATGTAAAATCCTGGGGGCACCTTAGAGTTTCTTTGATTCAGGATTGGAGGTTACAGGAGCTAGTGTACACACCTTGTGTGATCTATAGTGTGTAAAAGTACTTAGTATAATCTGTTAACCCAAGCCATGCCCTTCAAGACTAAGCACCTGCCTGGTGCTGTGCACTTACATACTTTGGACTCAAGGGAGAACCTTCAGAGATTTACAGTCCAGTGGGCTTAGAAAGACCAAGAGGGCCAGCACTGACAGAGGAGGCAGCATTCAGCTACAGTGAGGAGCTGAGGTTCAGGACAGGCCTCGTGGAGGAAGAATTCAGTCAAATGGGAAGTGAAGGGTGCTCCTGGAGACACAGCACCTAAACAAATGCACAAGGCCTCTACCTATGTGCCAGGCACTGTGCTAAACTCTTTCCCTATATTATCTCAGTTCATCCTCCCAATAGCCCTATGGAAAAAAAAAAAAATATTACCACCCCTCCATTAAGCATACACATACAGTTAAAGGAAGCACAGGGAAGTTAAAGGACCCCATCCGAGCTCACACAGCCAGCACAGGCCACCTGGGGTTTCGTCTAGTGTTTGCTGGTCCTCTGAACCATCTCCTGCCTTGCCTCCCTCAGAGATGGCACCAAGGTTTCAAACCTGGAAATCTGGTCTGATCCAAACACAGAAGTTAGGGTGGGGCACTGGGCTGGAGAAGGCAGGAGACAAGGTAATTTTGAGAAGGTGGCAAAATATTTAAGCAGAAATGTCCCAGAGGCCCTAGGAGAAATATGGGAGTGGACCCCAGGCAGGAGTATGATTCCAGAGCCACAGGCACAAAAGTGGTGGCTAAAGTCAGTAGAGGAGGGAGGGGAGCGAGGTCCAGAGCTGGAGTCAGTCACTGAGGAAAAGTCACAGCTATGGGCTGAGAAGCTGAAAAGGACTGCCCAAAGGACGCAGGAATTGTCAGACAAATTGCAGATGAACCAAAAAGGTACAGTGAGGTGTCACTGACATCAGAGAAAACAGAATTCTAAGAAGTGGGTGGTCAATGCATCTAAAACAAGAATAACAACAAACACACACCATGGAAACAGAAGCTGAGGAGGAGGCATTAGATTAGGCTAAAGAAGAGTCACCGCTGTGAGGGAGCCATTTCAGGAGGGCAGTGGAGTTGATGACAGTCTGCAGGGAAGGGGACAAGGGGTGAGGAGGAAGCGGGGTAGGAAGTGGGATTGAGATCACCATGGAGGAAGGAGCGTATCAGGTGACAGAGAAGTCTAAAGATCAGAGGGCAGAAAGGTTTGGCCAGGGGAGGCCAAATCCTGTCAGGGGAGCCCTGAGGTGGAGCGAAGGGGCTGGAGATGTGGCCTGGGAGTCTGTCAGGTGCTCAGTCAGCATCTGCTCGCTCACTGAGAGGGTCTCATCTTTGAGGAAGGCAAAGGTGCAGCGTGCTGTCCAGAAGATTAAACTCGGCACAAAGGGGGCACCCGAGGCACATACAAAGTGTGCCCCTGTCGTAGGTGTGTGTGTGGAGAGGAAGACGGGGCACAGGGGAGCACTGGTGGCAGCAACTTCCCTCACTTTCACAGTCTGCAGGATTTCAAACTAACTCCTGAAATGGGTACTCATTCTGGGGCCACAGAATGACTTCGAACATTCTGTGTGCAGCTCAGCTTAGTGAATATTCCAGAAAGCCTGATTCCTGGCACCATCACCGAAAGCCTTCAAGAATGGTAAGGTTTTCCATAAAGACTGGCTGTATGGAATGTGTTCTCATGCTCCCAGGAAATTCCAACACAAAGCCGGGTTTTCACAGGATGCCTGAAGAGCAAGGGGATTTAGAATGCTGGAGACTTCCTTTTACAGGGTGCTGCTGAGCACGTGCCTCCCAGCAAAGGCCTTGCCAGGTGAGGCCGGCTGCAAGCTCCATCTCAGGCTCAGAGGCACTCACGCGCCTTTCTTTCAACATCATCTCTTGGGAGGAGGCAGATCACAGACAGGCCATTCTCAGTGTTTCCAGACCCAGGGTAATTTTTAAAAAATTGTTAGGGCAGGTGGCTCTAACCACAAGCACTTAATTGTGGAATGCAGGCAGCCAGTCCATGGGTTTATGCCAGAGCTGCCAGAGTCCTCTGGATCTATAAAAACGAGGCCTGAGTTATTTCACTTGAGAAGCTTGTGAGCGTGTGATCCGTGATTGAATTGATTTCAATCTACAGAGGGCTGAATCGCAGTCCCTGAAGAAAAACGTTTCTTTACACAGAGAAAACCCAAAGTGACACTTTACTGCACCACACGGTGACAGGGCCACTTCGGACGTCTGTTTTACAGTAAGGGCTTGCTGCAATTTCTCACTTGGCAGGTGCTGATCCCTCACAGAACATCCTGGAGCATTCCTGTCAAGTTTTACACTGTCCAATCAATAGATGGGTCCTGGATAGGGTCGCAAAGTAACGAGGATGCTGACAGTCTCAGACAGGGCCCCTGGGTCTGCAGGAGGTGGGCAAGTTTCCCTTTGCTTTGCACCCACAGAGCTGTGACTGAGGCTGACAGCCAAGCCTGCACCTTCCTAAGGGGAGGGAGGCATGGCCGTTATGCCCCTGCCAACCCTCCAGCCCAGCCCTTGCCATGTATCTGTCTATCTGGCAGACCAGGAGCTTTCATTCCTACCTGATTCTCACTGAGCCTGAAAATCACGCAGGCTCAATAAAATCCTTTCCCAGGGTGATCACCACAGGTGGAATGGGCAAAACCTTTCTCACCCCAACCTGTGCTGACCAGCCCCCTCTCCTGCAAAAGCTTCTGAGCAAAGGGGTGCTTGTTCTTTTTAAGCAAAAGCTACCATTTAGAGAGCACCCACTTTATGCTGAGCTCTATCAAACACCATTAGTGGGTCTATTCCCAAACTGAAGGAGCCCGGGAGCAGAGGGAGTGCCTGTGTTTGCCAGCCTGCTGGAGAGGCCCTGCCAATCACACAGCATTTCCCAGTATGCAAAGCAACCCCTGTGCAGCATAGGTGGTCCTCAAGCACCCCATGGAGGCGGGGCAAGGACTGTCTTCTTTGTTTCTTACACTAGAAAACTGGCTCAGGAAGGTGAAGTCACTTACCCAGGGACAAGCCACCTTGAGAAGGATGTCACGACCAAACGCCACGTCTCTAATTTGTGTTTGGGTGCCTTTTTCATCTATCCTCGTGCTCCCCGCACACTCCCAAAGGCAGGAAGGACCCGGAAGGAGCCATCTTTTACTCAGACCCACAGTTCTCAGACCAGGGAATGAAGTGGGCTGGAGAGCAGCAGCTCCAGGCTGGGAAAAGGGCACCTTGGGCTCAGCGCAGCCTGTCCCGGTCCTGATAGAGCTGAGAGAGCGTGACAGCCCCGTGTCCTCCCTGCCCCTCCTCCCCACCACCACAAAGACAGCATATGATGAAATAACACAGAAATGATGGGGCAGCTGCTCAGGAGACCGTGGCTTTTGTTACCCACTAGACCAGGAGTCCCTGGCAGCCCCGGGAGGGTAGCTCAAAACTATGATGTGCCTATGCGCTTGCACATGTGTGCCCTTCCCTAGAGCAAGAACCTGCTGCCTTCATTAGACTCCCCGTGGATCCACACCACCACAGTGGGAGCTGCTCCAGGGCAGCAGTTCATGACATGACCCGGCTCAGGGCCTGACACAAAGCAGCACTCAACAAAATGACGAGCAAGTCAGCAGAGGCACCTACTGACCACATTCACATCTATCTAGAACCGAGTGGATGCAGCCCTCAGCGCTGTCTGTGAGGACAACTGGCGCTACTGCTTTCCCCACGTGACAAGAGCTGACCTGTAGTCTGCACATATAAACTACAGACATCAGTAACATGCCTGTGGCCATGCCATGAGCAAGAGCAGGACACGCTGCAGAGGCCAGGAGTGGCGTAGCACTCCCATCTTGGTTACCACACCATTTCAGCTTAGGTTTCTGCCCTCCCCACCTCGACATCATCCTGCACACTCCATCAAGGGCTGAGCCCTGGTGTCTGATTGTATTTGCAGACGCTGCCCACCAGTGTCAACTCGACGAAGCCTGCTACACAGAAGTTGTCGGTACAGGGGGCAGCATCAGCCACTGGGTAGTTGATTAGAAAGGCAAATCCCTGTCCAAATTCAGGAAATCCAAATCTTTGGAGCTGAGACCTAGGAATCTGGGTTTGACAAGCTCTCCAAGAGATTCAGGCACCGGCTCTAGGTCAAAAAGCAGTCCTCTCTCACCCTCCTCCAAGCTCTGCTGCCCTGGAGGGTCTCACCTCGGTCCATCATCCCAAGTCATCTACTGGCATTTGGGCTGGCCACCCACCAAGGAGAGGACCTGCCCCCATGTCCCAACTCCAACCTGTCACATCCTAGTGAGAACATCCTATTTTTACCCATCAAGCCACATGTCACAGATCCTCAGGACAGTTACTAGCCTGGGTTACTTGTCTGATCTGCCCCACTGGCCTGTTTTCATCATCCTTGTGGTCCAGAAAGAGAAGCCCTGACATGTCAGAGGAGCTCATACAACTTTGCTGATCGAACATCAGGTAATGACCAGAAATGGCTTTCATGGAAATAGGTGTAAATAAGTAGTTCTCACCTACCTGAAAGGTTACTGAGTCGTTTCTGCTGTTCTGTGATAAGAGAAAAAATACAGTGTAAATGAGATTTATACAACAAACATGATCATCCAAGAAGCCCCAACATAACTTGTTAGGATCCTCAAAATGATGTCCTTGCTGTCCTATAGGTTAGATGATGAAATATGTCATCTGGCTGAATGCAAGGGTATCAACATGACTCCTGTTATTAAGTGGGGTGTCTTCCCCTGAACCCCAAGCTGCACCAGGACTCAGGAACTGTCACTGTTCTCTCTTTAGATCTTGCCATAAGGTGCTCTGATTGCTCAAGGACACCCTCCCAATAATCCTGTTTCAAGTGAGCAGGATTTTTAGGATCCCATCTTGGTACCTTTTGAGGAAAATGCAATTGTAATTATAACCATGGCAACTGCCATTGCCTGCGAGCCTGCTAAATGCCAGACACTGCTTTAAGAGCTTTCACACATGCCAACACTGTGAATCTTTGCAGCCACATTAGCAGGTAGATCAGCATTGCTGAGAGACCTCGGGTAAGGGGTACATATTACCCAAGGACACTGAAAATCAGAGCTGGGTCCAGAACCTGGATTTCCCAGCTCCCATCAGCAGGCCCCTGCTGTCACTAATACCCCATGTCTTTCACTTTCTTAGCCTCAGGGGCATTCTCAAGGAGAGAAGGCCAGTGTCTCCTTTGGAGTATTCTGCATGTACGTGCTATGGGATAAGCACAAAAATGACCTTCACCTTCCACAGCTGCTAAAGATAAAGCAGCTACATAGATAAAAATAGAATGCTTGCCAGCCCCTGGGTACTGCCACCACCCCTCTTGGCCAAGTCCCCGCCTCCCTCCAGAATCAGTTTGGGTAAGAATAAACAGAGAGCCGCAGGGAGGCTCAGAGCTGGCAGGAGCAGCCCTGTCCAGCACTGGCACAGGCATGCGGCTCTCTCTGCCATTTAAGCACAAGTCCAGCAGAACTCCAGGCTCAGCTCTGCCAACAACCTGTCTGATGACACCGACCAGTCAAGTAAACTCTCAGACTCAGTTTCCTCATCTGTTAAATCAGAGTGCTCATGGATCCCCAGATCCCAGACTAGGTGGTCTGCAAGCTGGAGGCAAGAACTTCCCCAGTGGGCAAAAGCACATTAATTCAATTTAAAAGACATTGCTCCCACTTCAGAGCTCTAAAATGGCCTTTCTTTCACTGAACTATAAGGGTTATAGACAATGCTGTTTTTCAGGGGTGCTGTCTAGCAGTCAGGGATGAGTGACCCTGTAGGGTGGCCCTCAGATGCCTTCACGTGCCCATGAGATCCAGACGTCTCGAACCATGGAGACGGTGTTCTCCAGTGTGGTCCAGGGACTGACAGGACCTATGTGCCCTATGAGTTTTTGGGAAGATACAGAATCATGGCCCCGGCCCAGATTTCCTGAATCCAAATCTGCAAGTTAAGAGGATTTCGAGGATGCTACACACATTAAAAATTGAGAAGCCTTGAGTTAGGAGACCCATCTCCATCTTTCTGCCCTGGGAGTTTTTGAATCAAATCCTCCTCCCTAGACTGATGTTATGTGATCTGTCTTCAACACAGGTGGTAGGAAAGCTCAGGGAGGGGGGCACAGACACCAGGGCTAGGCCAGAGGCGAGGGGCACTTCCCCCCATTTCCAGTGGGGAAGCTGGCTTGGACAGGGTTATTATCACACGGTTCCTGAGACAGTCTAGGCATGAAAAAAAGGGCACCTTTTTTAGGATGACTAAACTAGGATTCCAGAAGTGGAGTAAAGTTATCATCCCCTCAGGAGACTTTGCAATACTTAAGAAATTGTTTTCACGGGTACTGTCTCTGAGGCAGAATAGAGCTGCCAGGCTGGGTAAATTCCAAAATGAAGCCAAAAACACTTGACCTAAACCCCACTGATGATTAGTAATCCAAGGCTGGGCTGGCCAGGTGCTTCCAATCTCCCCTACTCTTCCTGCCCCACCTGTTTAGGGAACATATGGTTTGTTCTTTAGAGGAAGTTACATTCTAATTCTAAAAACTAATGTTTCTTGTGTCCTTTTCTTTTCTTTTCTTTTTTTTTTTTAAAGGATTTATTTATTTACATAAGCACTGAGTACAGTCAGCAGCATGGGAAGGTGAGAGAATTCACCAGAGCCAGAGCAGGGAGCAGAACAGGCAGACTGACGAAATACACTGCTGAGGGGAGCAGCGGGCGTGGCAGGAGAGGTCTGCTGCGCCATGTGGGACCCTCGCTGGCAGCCGGGGATCAAACTGGTGCTGCGGGTATCTTCGCAGCCCAGCGCTAAAGTGCTGCGCCACCGGGGAGGCCCACTTGTGTCCTTTTCTGATGAATGTGATTCAAGCTGCACAGTTGTGATGTTTCAACTCAAGGGCAGGACTTAAGAAAAAGGCACAAACCAAAAGCATTTAGAAGAAGAAGAATCCATTTGTTCAGGGAAGGAGCAATAGGCATTTCTGTGCCCAGGGATGTCTCACTGGGTGTCATCAGAGAGACATGGTGGAAGCAGCTGACATTATACTTGGCATTTCCCAAAAACCAAGTTGCCTTGGGAAAAAGTCCCATTTTTAGAGAAATCGCCCTTCCTTCTGGGAATTAACTTGCTTCTGTTTGAGTGGATTTTTTTTAACTAAGATGAGTCATTAAGAAGTTCATAGAGAATCAAACTTCACTTTGTCCTACATTGCAGACACTTTCTGGGCAGAGAAAGCTACTGCCAGTAAGAGGCATGGCATGGCTGCAAGGAGAATGGGCTCTTACATAGTTTAGTGTGGGGAAGGGCCCTTCTTAAATTTTCAAGAACATACATTTGCATGTAAAAATTAATATGGGAGCCACACAGAGTGAAAAAAAATAAAACTACTAAAATAACTAAAGAGTTGAGTGGAAAGATTTTAAGTAGGAGAAAATATTTCATTCAGTTGCTTTCAAGTTAGAAAATAGAGAACTCTAATATGAGAAACAATTAAAAATAGACACTAGTCCCACTGTCCCAAGTTAATGCAGGGAGTAGGGAGGGGGGGGGAAAAACTATGAAGCAGTCAAACAGGGAGTCAAGAAGGAAGATTTGGTATTGAGCTTTAAGCTGTGAAAAAATAATTGCTGTTGGAAATTCAGACCAAAAGACCAGAAAGCTCTTTCTATACTAAGAAACAGCTTGAAAATTTTTACAATTCACACTACAAAGCACTTTTGTGAAGGACAAATTTATTCCTCTTGCAAATTCCAAAAAGGAAACTTGGATTTAGAATCATCTTCTGGAATTTTTGAGATGAAGGGTCAACACAGAACAAATATTACCTCAAAACACTTATCTTCATCTAAGCTACACTTCACCTAAGGTACCCTTCAGAGAAAGGGGAGAACCAACCAGAAGCTGTCAGAGAAACTATAGAAAACAAACATGAAATCTGTCAGCAGAGCTGCTGGAGCTATGCAGCGGAAGGGGTGACCACCACAAGGCCTCATATCCCCAAGAGCTCCACTGAACGTGGCCAACCTCAGTAACTGCTGGGGAAGGTGAAGGCCATGGAATCACTAAAAAAAGTTCAATTGCCCCTGTTTTAGAGGTGCAAAAACATGTTCTCTATTTCAGAAAATTTTCCATCTGATATTTTCTTTAATTTGGTACTCAAAATTTTGCTTTCCAGAACATTTATGATGGTGAAGACCCAAGAGATTTATAACACAATTTATTTATTTATTTTTTTAATAGAGGCATGTTTTATTTATTTATTTGTTTGTTTGTTTTTTGTTTATACAAGCACTGGGTACAGTCAGAAGAGCAGGAGGGTGAGAGAATTCACCAGAGCCAGAGCAGGGAGCAGAGCAGGCAGAAGGACCGAAGTACACTGCTGAGGGGAGCAGCGGGCGGCAGGAGAAGTCTGCGCGCCATGTGGGACCCTCCTCCGGTGGCCGGGGAGCAGCCGGGGATCGAACCGGTGCTGCAGAGGCTGCGGGCAGCTTTGCAACCCAGTGCTCAACCGCTGCGCCACCGGGGAGGCCCTATAACACAATTTATAAGCGGTACTCCTGTACCAAGATTCCCCAAGCCAAGTTCCTAGAACTGGAATGATGAGGAATTAAGACACACAGACCGTTTCTTTCCTGTGGATACACAAGGTATGCAACATGTATCCCAACAGCTTCCATATTCAGCACCCCAAGTCGGGGACCTCTGCCTGCCTGTCTACTTTGTAGGTCATGGGAGTAAGCTGGGACAGACAGCTTCAGGGAAGGATGCACATCTCTGCCATGTGGTAGGACTCCTGCCCCAGGTGTTGATGGCAGCACATAGGGGAGCATGCCTGGCATAGTTCCTTTACCTCGGTTGTGTTGCAAGAGCACAATAGTAGGATTGACGATGGTTGTGGAGGGGTAGGCAGAGGACGGCTTGCTGACAGGTGCAAAGGTCTGGGACTCAGATCCAACGTGGGGAGAAGAAACTTCATTTAGTAGAGGATTTGGATCCTAGAAAGAAAACAAACACTGTAACTGTCAAGATGTGAAACCTAGAGATAATGGTTTTTAAAAGAAGGAAATTAAATTTTTACAAGGATCTTAATTAGAAAAGGAAATGTAATAAATGAGACATATCAACTCTGGTTAGAAGTTAAATCTGGAATGCTTACTCTCTTCGTTGGTATTAGTAAGGGAGAGAAGGAAGGTGAACGCAACTGAAAGTCTCAGCAACATCATTCATTATTTTCACCTGGTAATAATTGTGGAGCAATCTGGTTACTGAAAAAGCAAATTCAAATCAGAGTAGAACATGCAAAACTCATGCAATTCCAAATACAGTCTGAGAACCAGAGCTGGGTTTATTGGGAAAAATCAGTAGTTTAGTACTCTTATTTAAGGAAATAGGAGACAAGATTAAGACAAAGTCATTGATGTAAGAACAGTGAAGAGTTAAGTATTGGTCCTCTTGGAGACTACTCTTAGCATAAGCACTACTCAAACAACTTTTACTAGTGCTTGCTTCTGAGATTTGGATAGTATCTTTTCCTGTGCTGACACACTTTAATACTGAGGTGACAAAGATCTCTAAAGACTAGTGAAACTCCTGACTTAGAACTTCTAACTCTGTTAGAAACCCCTATACAATTTTTACTAACATAATCTACATGATTGGAATAATGCCAAACTTTTTAAAGGCATGAAAATAAGACCTGAAATATAATGAGGGTATTTATAGGTAGTTTTCTCTATCAAACCTGCACATTCTGCAAAGTTTCTATTTTATAATTTTCAGACCTGAGTGCCAGAATGTCATTCTTAAAAGGGTTTGAAGCAAGTTCTATCCAGACTAAAGTATGGTTTAAAGCAACTAGGATGCTCTATCAGACATCAGTGACCCTGTAAGCACCTGCAGGAGGAGGGTCCTGCCTCCTACCTCTTCCTCCCTGCCTCTAGCACAATTCCCTAAAGACAGCAGGTGCTCAGTAAATGCCACATGAAAGATGGACAAGCGCCATCTACAGCAAAGGTGTCTCTGAACAACTTCTGCTACAAGAGAACACGTGGTCACCAAAAGAGGAAGTGTATCAGACTGAGGACAGCACCTGGCACATAGTAGGAGCTTCCTAAAGATACCAGTTCGATCCTCCTGAAAGTATCCTTTTGTCACAATTGCTAAACATGAGATCTGCTTAGATTAGTGAATAAAAGCTTTCCCCAAGACTTGAGAGGCACAAAATGATCTTGTGCAAAAGTGTCTTAACTCAAGTATTCATTTGTGAAGTGGAAAACAGTTATACTTGTGCTAATTTACTTCCAATATAATGTAATGAGGATACATAACATTAGTAAAGACTATCATAATGTACCCATGAAACACAAAAAATCAGCGGTATAGCTCTTTAAAGTATAACATCTAACATGATAACTGGATGGATCCTGGGAACATTAAGCATTTTATAAATTTACTTGGAGGCACAAGTCCCCCAAACCTTATTTCAGGAATATCACAAAAATGGTTATTGATAAAATAGCATGGATCAATTACCATGCATATTCTTCTTCCCTCATACCCTCAAATAGCTGCAGATGAAACAGATACCAACTGGTGGCTTGGTCGCAATCCCCAGGGGCCTCTACTCGTAATCAGCCTTATTCAGTGGAGGCACCCAAGCAGTTTCCTTTTTCACTTCTTACTCTACCAGCTGGGGCCAAACCAAACTGATCACACCAACTGAGGACCTCTAGGGAAGTCTCTACCAGGCTGACCAGTCAGGTTTGATAAACTGAGGACACTATCCTCACGAATCTGTCCTGGCTTACAACTCATGAAAATCTTGATCTACACAGCAGAGAAATTATAGGGTACATAACAAAACTCCTCACAATGTTAGTATTAGGGTACTAACAATAAGACTCACTTTACATGCTGCTCTAGAAAACCTTTTGTATCAAATGAAAGAATATCTGTAATCTCCAAAGCAAGAGTGGGTCTAAATTCACCTATCAATTGAGCTGGGGTGAGGGGAGTACATCAGGGAACAATCTAGCATTTTCCTTCAACAGGGCTGAGCTGCAAAGTTTAGCGATAGAAGGACATTCCAGGGCCACATCTGGTTGGGTCCTGACCAAACTGAATCGTGTTACATCTACAGACTTGAGAAGGAGTCTCTGTCCAGCATGTAGCTGTTCCCAGCTAATATCTCATTATAATTTATCTTTCAAGTCAAACAAGTTTCCTTCCAGTGCTCTGCATGGCTCGCTTGAGTTTAATGAGCCACTGAGACAATTTTGTAGGTCTATCTCTTTACACAAAGGCATGCCAGTGAACATGTAGTTCCAGCAGACAATTGCATGACCACCAGATCACTACATCTCAACAGTGGTCCATGGAATCTCAGCCTCAGGACCCCCTGGGATGTGTGTTCCACAGAAGAGAAAAACCTGGAGTTGACACTGTAAAGGAGCATCCCTGCACCTCAGACGATCCCCTATATTCTAAGCCTGGGAACAAGCTCTATCCTAAAGACCCTATTCTCAAGAGCGAGGTCCTGCCTTGTCATCATCGTACCCACACAATCTAGCAGAAAGCCTAGAAAAAGGCATGGCAGGAGCACTAGGAGCACTAAGGTTAATTATTGGCTAGTTGCATATTTTTGTGGGACTCCGGCCCCCATTTGCTAGGGCAAGCCTCAGAAATGTTGGGCTTCTCTTCTTTCTCTTCTTTCTGTATCAAGCACCAATTATAACAGGACCTCTTCTATACTCGGACCTCTTACATACTGCTGTCCCGTGAGTAGGTCCTTCATCCCCATTTTAGCATTCACACTGAGGCTCTTTCACATTCTCTCAATTCTCAGGGCTCCTGCAGAGACAACAGGCTGAGTATTATAACCCAGTTTTTTCCGCTACATAGATTTCCCACTTATGATGGGGACCCATCCTTTAAAGGATGGGGCTTGAGGCATCAGGGTCCTTTAACTTCCTCTGACCACTGGGGCACTCTTTGCCAGAAAGGTCTCTGGCAGCCACTACTCAGTGCTCCAGAAGTTTTCTGTCTTTTGCGGTAACAGTCCTAACATTTGTACCAGGTTTTTATATCCATTGCTCAATGAAACTCAACTCTTTAAAATTTCTTTTAAATAGTCTCTGTCATTGTGGATAGATAAGAGAATCTAGTTGCTGTATCAACAAAACAGTGAAACTTCTCCTCTGCTAGAATCTCCCTGCTCCCTGTGGAGAAGATGGCGGAGGCCTGCTGTCGGCTTTTCCACATAATTTCTAGCTTTCCTCAGCTTTCAACATTATGTCTCCTGGCCTATAAAGAGTATAACTAGCCAAAAGACCACAGACGTTGTTTTCTCAGATGGAAAACCAAGTTATCTCAGGAGGATGTGCGTTTCAAACAGGACAGAGGAGAGGAAGGATGAGAGGCTCGTGAACAGCCGCAGGAGGCCGGGGAGCACAGGGGAGGCATGCACTCTAGTGAAAGCAAACACTTCTCCAGTCACCACACAAGCACAGCAGCAGCCAACATGTCCCTCAGCACTTAGTACTTCAGTGAGAAAGAGTTGTTTTTTTTTTTTTTTTTTTTTTTTACTGCCAGGAGTAGACATTCAGGAAAGCTGTGAGGAGGGGGTTCCAGCAAGCTTACGGTACTTGAAACAGCTCCCGTGAGGTCAGGCTCCAAGGCTCTGTGGAGGCCCTCCGGGACCGGAGGGACCAGCGGAGGTGGTGGTGAGGATGGTGGTGTCTGGCTAACAGGGGGGAGAGAGCCAGGAGCGCGGGCTGGCTGGCTGTGGTAGGCCCGCCTCTGCAGATGAGGGGGAATGAAATCATCTAGAGTCGGGAAGGTCAGAGGTGAGCCGGCAGGGGTGGTAACCGGGATTGGGGGGCCAAGTGTTCCCAGAGATGATGGAGGTCTGGCAGTGCCTTCTTGCCCTCTGTCAGTATTAACCAGGTAGACAGGGACAACTATTACCTCAGGCTGGGCTGGGCTGGAGGAAGTGGCATCCTGTAGGAAATAAGGGGGTCGTTATGTAAAGGGGCATGACAGGGAAGAAGGAATCTCATATTTAAACAGCTGAGAGTGGACATGCAATGATGTACTCTGAGAAATATTTAATCGGTGCCCTTTTCTCTGAGTACATGAGACAGGCGGTGTAGCCAGCTGGCCTCCTGACTCTATGACACAGAGGGACGCCCATCCAAGTTTACTTTCCATCCATCTATTTTTGAATCCTTTTAACACTTTATGAGAGAAAATGACAGAGCAGGCAGGCAGGCTGTGCTTAACCCCCCAAACTGCTGGCAGAGTCTGAGAGTTTGGGAGTAAATACGATTTTTTGGCACCTTCTTACAAAACAAACACTCCGTATATCTTATTAGCTTACAGATTCCACGCTCCGGCATACTTACATATTTACAGCAAAGAGAGAGAGGGAGACAGAGAGGACTATGCTGAGATGTTTAGAGAGAAGAATTCGGGATTCGAGCCGCAGTGGTATTGACAAGGAAAGGAAGGGCAGGGCAGCCCGGAAAACAAATGAGCTGCTCATAGGAGTTTTGAGAGAGACGGCATAGAAGACAAACAAACATTCCTAAATCCTTGCCTTGGCTGGGTAGGACGGCTGCAAAAGGTAAGGCTCTTTTCTCTTCCGGTTTTCGGGATCAGAGGTAACCTGGGGGCCTAGCACAGGTGGTCTCGCTGCATCTGGGAACGCAGGCCGAGGCCCCGGGGAAAGACTCTCGCCGTGGTTAACGGCATCCTTACTGATGTCAGAGAACAGCTTGGGAGGGTCAGGAGGAGGAGCAGAGGGTGCCTTTCCCGTGCCGGCTGTGCAGGAGGCAAGGCTGGGAGCCGGTGCTCGAGCGCCTGCAGCTTCCAGGGGAGTGCCTTTGGCTGGGTCACGTGCAACACGAGAGTTTTCTGATGCCACCCGGCGAATGTTATTGGATAAACAAGGTACATATAAGCTGCTGACCTTTTTATTCCCAACTGCCCCATGACG